ACCAAAGCACATCACAAGCAGCTTTTAAATAATAACATACAGTATATAGAAGGTGCACAGTGTCATTCACACAAACACTAAAGTGTCATTCACACAAACGCTAAACACTGAAATAATGCAATAAACATTCATTTAACAACATTAGGTGTAACACACAACCCTAATATACAAAATTGATAAGAAAAAACTAAGAAGAAACATGGTTATTTCAACAAAAAAACATCAAATTTGAATGTAATGCAGGGAATTCTGGGAATGTCAATTTACGGTTATTCACTGTAAATTATACGGTCTTTTTCACTTCCAAAAATGGTACACTACCGTAAAATTAATGTCCAATACATGTAATGTCCAATACAGTTTTTCACCGTATATAGTAGGGGAATTTACCGTTAACCATTTAACAGGTTTTTACTGTAGCATTTTTACTGTCTTTTACCGTTAAATTCATTTAGTCTGTTAAAGTCATTTTTTACAGTTGTCACACGCTTGAGGTATTCGGCCAATCACAACGCACTGGATAGCTGGCCAGTCAGAGCACACCTCACTTTTCAGACCGATGAAAAGAAAGGCGGGGCATAGAGGAGCAACAATAATGTACAGTATGTGGAAAATAATGTGTTTTTTAACCTTAAACCGCATAAACACATACACCAAATACACAAAATAATGTTCTTTTTTAGCAACGTCATATGACCCCTTTCAAATTTAAACTACTTCAATTTAGAATTCACACATTTTATAAAACTAAAACGAATACAACAATGTTAGTACTCATTTTATTAATTAATTAGGGCAAACTGGTTATTTTTGCCTTTATCTGAGGCATTTCATTCTTATGGTTTTAAAACCAAAGTTGAAGCAATGTCACAAAATATGAGATAGATGTGTTCAGTTCAGTGACTGGCTAGAAAGCACAGGTCTGCGTCATCAGTTCCTGAGCGTTTCTCTGCATTATTCTTGAAAATGAACTCTTTATGTCCAGTCACTGCACTGTGTTATGCATGAGATCGCATTACAGTGGAGAATTCAAATGTTTCGGATGCATTGTTTCACCTCTGTCATCTGTTGAACACTTGTTGTTGTCATTCAGAGACATATGGGTTGAAAGACACTTCAGGTGAATAGGGTAAACCTTTTGACTAATGTCATGAATCAAGTAGTCTAATAGTCATGAATAGCATATGGATATGACTTTCGTTGCACGCTCTTACAGTCAGTACTTGAGACTCTTGTAAACTGCATTTCAAAACTCACACCCGTAAATAAATGCGGTTGTCAATCCCAAGCACTGACAGTGTGAATATAGCCTGAAAGAAGGCACGTTACAGAAGCACAATAGCCCAAAATCTCAAAATTGACCAGTGCATGAAAAAAATGGTTTGCATGTAGTGTCTTGCCTTAAAATAAGAATTATCTTGATTTTTCATTGTTTTAGCTTATTTTAGAGCTTATTTTGTCTTATTTTAAATCATTTTAAGTCACCTTGTAAGTTTGCTGAGGGCCCCTAGAATGACGTAGTACAGGTTCATTTGGTGTGTCGTGATTGTGCTGTAATTGCTGGTCCAGGTGTGCTGACTTGCTCTTTTCCATATAGTGTTATTATGCCACATCCCTCTGCGCAGCTGTGTAGGGCAGATGATCACTGATTCTCACTGTATGATAACATACACACGAGGAGTGTGACGTGGCTCTGGACTCTGTTGTGTTTGGTTGAGTTTCTCGGCACGGCGTCGGTCCACAGATAAGCGCTCAGGCACAAGGGAGTCTGACATGAATTTATGTTGCCCTCTCTCGCTTTGCTCCATACTGAGGTGAGCCATCTAGATCTTTGATTGGAGGATCAGTGAGAGAGTGAAACCAAACATCTAGATATCGCAAAACCAGTGCGCAGCCATAAATAATACAATGTTCACACCTGCAAGAGGCTCAAGATATCCTGATGTCATTTCTCCTTCCCTGAAAATAGTTTTTATTGTATTTTATTGTAATCTGTCACAGTTTAAGTACTGCAATGTGTCGTCAGAAGAACATTGAAGTATTAAGGCACCAAACCCCAATCTTCCTCCATTTACAGATGTTTGTGCGTTCAGACAGTTTGGCAATAGAAACAAATCTCAGATTGTATTGGTGACTTATGCTATTTGAACAGACCAGGGCTTCCAATGGCAGATGACAACCAATGACTATGTGTCCCTGGAATAATAGGGTCCCTGGATCCGAATGTACAGAATCCATAATCCCACCATGAAACTGCCCAGCCAGTGTCCATATACACTATATGGACAAAAGTATCAGGACACACTCTTAATTATTGAATTCAGGTGTTTCAGTCAGGCTCATTGCCACATGTGTATAAAATCAAGCACCCCGTCATGCAGTCTGTGTTTACAAACAGAGCTCAGTGAAATCAAGCGTGGTACTGTGATAGGATGCCACTTTTGTAATAAGTCAGTTCATAAAATTTCATCCCTGCTAGATATCCCATGGCCAGCTGTAAGTATTACTGGAAAGTATAAGCGTTTAGCAGCAGCAACTGAAGACCACGTCAAGTCACAGAGCAGCTCACCAATTGCTGAAGAGTATGGAGCGTGAAAGTCACCAAAGCTCTGCTGATTCCAGAGCAGATGAGATCCACACTTCCACTGGCATTAATATCAGCACAAAAACTGTGCAGCGGAAGATTCATGGATTGGGTTTCTATGGCTGAGCAGCTGCATGGAAGCCTCACCTCACCAAGAACAATGCCGAGAGTGGGATGGAGTGAGTAAAGCACGTCGACACTGGACTCTGGAGCAGTGGAAACCTGTTCGATGTTTGACAGTCTGATGGGCGAGTACAGTTTGCTGGAGGAGGGATAATAATATGGGACTGTTTTTCGGGGTTTGGGCTCGGCCCCTTATTTCCAGTTACTTACCAAGACATTTTGGACAATGCTGTGACACTCCAAAATCTTGTGAAAAGCCTTCCCAGAAGAGTGGAATCTGACCAACTCCATATTAATTTCTGTGTGTTTGGAATGCAGTGTCATTAAAGTCCCTGTTGCTGTAATGGTCAGGTGTCACAATACTTTTGTCCATATAGATCTCACGTCTCAGCCAGAAACACACTGATCTGCTGAAATGTTGACTAACAATATGTCCAAATGATCGAGTGTAGCATTGGCCCATTTAAAATGTTTACATGATTACGCTGACGGTTAAAGCCTCTTGGCGTAACATCTCTCTCACGGAGAAACAGATCAGGAATGTATAAATATAACTTTTTTATTCAGTAGATGAGATGAGTGAGGCAAATAATTCAAATAAGGATAAAGGCAGGAATATATTGGACAGTTGAACACAAGCGCACCTGACAGTCATAAGTGGGTTATGCTGTGAAGATGCTGCTGTGATTTCTTGACACATCTGGGACATGCACATCGCTTGCACAACTTTTTTTCGTCAGGCGTCTTGATGTGAATAGCGTTGCAGCACAATAAAGGCCACCGTCAGCGACTCCATGGGCTGAATGCTGGCAGAGCCAGGTTTAGGTGTGCGCCGGTAACAGGCACACCATTTGTTTTCATCTGCGCATATGCAAATGACTTTTGAAGCTAACATTTTCTTGTTTTGATGAGTTGACACACTCCTACTAGTGTGTTATCATTTCTGCCCCCTTCTTTTGTGTTGTGTCGATTGCCTTTTTATCTGCAGAATGATTTATAGCGAACATGTTCTTATAATGTGCACAGTCTCACAGTCACAGTTACAGAATGAATGTTGTGCCTACATTTAATATTACTTATGCAAAGAAATTCATATGTAGGCACAATTTATATTTGTCATCAAAGCTAATTTCACTCATGGAAGCGGAAGCCTTTGCATCAGAGGGTTTTAGGAATCATGAGAATCAGTCAAGTTTTTCCAGACTTTTCACTGGTACAACATTGTCCCCATATTTATACTTTTTTCTGATTCTGTTATGGATATAAATTGTCTTTGCCTGCAGTACAGAGTCACTTGTAAGCAATAAAGAGCTGCTTCATCACTGAAAACATCTGCAAGTTATGTTTCCTGCAATGGATTGTAGGTACTGTAAATTTCCACCTCATCCAGCGATTTTTATTAATATTTTTGGTTTCTGTTTATACAGTATCCTGTTACTATTTCAGTGTAAGAAACCACTGTAAATGGTTCAATCTGTGAATGAACTGTGTGAATAAATTGAATCATGCACAATTTCAGACCTTTTTACAAACCCTTCTGACCAATTCTGACTAATTTGTGAACAGCTAAAAAAAACATGCATGACATGATTACTGAAATATTATCAGGGTTTGTATACAGTAATGTTCATCGTCAGATAAGGCTTTATCAGTAATGTTTTATTGGAGCACAGCTCATGCACCAGTAAAAAGGATCTAGTGTCACCTCCAGTGCTACACATCAGCTTCATTTTGCCCATCAGTCCCTCTGCTCATATACTGGTATCAGCACTGGTCATCATAAACACATATCAGTTTCTAGCTAAAAATCCAATGGTAAATTTTCCACAGAGGTAAAGCTTTCAATAAGACACTCAAGCATCCGATGTTATTCTCTTGCTGAAGCCAGTTCTGCTTGCTTTAAGTGCTTGTTAAGTGTTCATTTCTCTCCTCGTCTGTGCTGTAGTGCCCGGTCCAGTTCCCAAGGAGTTTGTGAGAGCGACTCCGTCGGAGGATAAGATCTCACTGCAGTGGAAAGAGCCTCTGGAGCCCAACGGCATTATAACCCAGTATGAGGTAATGCTACCAGTGTCTTATTCCAATTCCACTATGTTTTACGTGTTTGTGTGCAAACCTGAAGGCTTATGTATCAAAAGCACACACTCTCTTGCATCTTTGTATTTTATTTGGAAAAACTGAAATTAAATGAACCATCCCTATATATAATCGATGTGTTTCAGCAGTGCCGTCTTCTTTTCTGCTGTCTGTAGATCAGTTACAGTAGCGTGCATTCGTTCGCCCCGTCAGTGGCGTTGCTGCGGCCGCCTGTTCTGGTGTCGTTACCGTGGAACACGTCGCGTCACAACTTTGCACAGCTGCATCCAGGAACCACCTACCAGTTTAGCCTTAGTAATCCTGAAGACATTGATTAGCTTGTTCAGGTGTGTTTGATTAGGGTTGGAGCTGAACTCTGCAGGACTGCGGCTCTCTAGGACCGAACTTGCCTACCCCTGTGCTAGGAGAATTTCATCTACTACGACTGAGAGTATCTGTTGGTATGGGAAAAGGTGACAGAAAACTGAATTTTTGCATTTGCTCAAGTAAAAAAGCTAATTTCAAATATTCATAAACACTATAATAGTATATAAATAATACTAATATAACATAAGTTGTCACTCATGTCCTAGCAACTTCTAAACATGTCCTAAACACTGTTATTACTGCATATATAATGCATTTGAATGAGAAATTGATGTTTTAGCAATGTTGTCTTGTTTTCTGGGTGTCTGCTGTCTCCAGATCAGCTACAGTAGCGTGCATTCGTTCGACCCGTCAGTGGCGTTGCTGCGGCCGCCTGTTCTGGTGTCGTTACCGTGGAACACGTCGCGTCACAACTTCGCACAGCTGCATCCAGGAACCACCTACCAGTTCCTGATCCGGGCCAGTACCAGCAAGGGATACGGACCCCCAACCACACTCAACGTCACCACCAACATATCAGGTATGCATGAGCTCGTGCTGTTACATCAAATCTGATCCCATCTTTAGTGCTGTGTCAATATCTCAAATATTACTGCATTTGTGTTCAATTTGCTAATTTTAGTGTATAGATGCTGTAAATGTAAATGTATGTGTTATAAGTTTAATACTGTCAAGCATTATGAGATGCTCATTGTTTTTGTGCAGACTTGTTTTTCAGGAGGCTAGCAGACTGTAGCTCAACTACTTTAGATCGTGAATAGCTCGTATCTCAACAAAGTACAGTTTCAGGGAAGCTTCCTCAACACATGATTTCATTAAGGGAAAAATGGTGACTCTTTCACTCTTGCTCTGTCTGTGTAGCGCCTACTCTAGAGGAGTACGATGGGTCGGAGGCGTCCCTGAACGAGACGGCCACTACCATCACCGTCCTGCTGAAACCTGCCCAGGCTAAAGGAGCTCCTATCAGGTGTGTGTTTGTGCCTCCTCAGTCTCCTCATATCCTCCAGACGTTATTAGACTTCCTCTCTGTGCTGTAATGAGCTGCTGCTGGTGACATTACCACTCCCATATTAACTTCCTGTGTTTCTCTGCTCATAAACCCCCACTCTCTATCTCTCCTTCCATCTTTGTCTCTTTCAGCTGTTCAATATTCCTTTCGACACTTGCACAAAGATCCCTATTTGATTTGAGCCATGCCTGACTCTTCCTCTTCCTCCTCATCCTCTCTCTGTTTGACTGGTTTGAGGCTCTGTGTCACATCTGGGCTTGAACACAGTCTTTCAGTAATTTAGCTGTCATTGTGACAGACTCATTCCTGCAGCCTCACACAGATGGAGGAGGAGGAGAGACTTATTTACTTATTGTTTAAATTGGGTGAAGTAAGAAAAATGCAGAAAAACTGCATTGGGAAAGTGAAGGGAAACAGCGATGTGACGCACATGAGCCCATTAGTGCACAGAGTTTTCCCAGAGATATCCTAATTAGAATGATTTCTACAGTCTTTTCAAGATGTTTTCATGTAAAAAAAAAAAAAATTAGGGATGTCGATTTAATGCGTTAATTTGGTGTGATTAATTATGGAAAAAAATAATGTGTTAAAATTATTAAGGCATTTAATGCATCCGCCCCGTCCAGACCTGTCCGTCATCTTACATTGATGATGAACATGATGCAAGACAACAACCGACTGCATGATGAAGCCTATTAGAATGCAGTTATATGAGCCTAAAATTCAAGATATGAGGGCAACAATGACCTTTTAATGGTTTTTATCTTGCAAAGGTGATACTGATTTTATACAAGTTCAATAAACAGGAAGTTAATATTGTGTGACACAATATTGTCATATTGCCCGTTTTTGCCTAATTTCACAAACGAAAGTATTTTCAAACAAAGTCACAGCAGAACTGTTGTGTGTCTAAGCAAGAGACACCAGTGATTTTGTTATTGAATGACTCCACCTATTTATACAAATAGAGTGAGTCAATGATTCAGTGACTCATTTATAAAGACAGTCACTTGAATCAGCCGTTTGAACAAATCAGTTAAATAGTGATTCAATGACTCATTAATGAAGACAGTGACTTGCTGCCACCTACTGGTGGTTTTAATTTCATATTTAGAGTATAATTTCATTTATTACAAAAAAAAAAAAAAATCATTTTCATATTTCAATATGCATTTTTTTAAACCCATTAATGCCCATTTAAAGCCCATTAATCTCATAGCGTTGTATATGTGATTCTAATCGCAGTTCAAATGCTTTCATGCCATCTCTGAACAGTCTGTAAATATACCTAAATGCCACTTCAGACACAGCTTCTGAAAACAGTTTTATGGCCACATTGCAGTACAATATGTAATATGTAATCAATTCAATGCTGAATTAAAATGTCTTTCTAAAGCTACTTTTATGTCTATTCAGTGCTTTTCTCATTTAACACAATAATGAATGACTTTACACAATCTTTTGGGGTGTAATTTCTGAGCCCAAACTGATGTGCTATTAATTTGATTAATTAATTGGCACATCATCGACTTTAGTGACCAGTGAGCACATACGTGTGTTTGTGTAGAAACTCCCATAGGAAGCGCACGGATGGAGGAGATTTTGTCCTCCAGTCTCCAGTAAGTGAACACATACAGAGAGCCGAATGAATGAAACACCTTTGACAAGAGCTTAGATAGATTAAGGGTGAATATCCCAGCTCACATTGCAAAATATCATCCCAAATGGATTATTTTGTGTGAAGACAATAATGGCATTTTGATTTTCTGGGCATGTTAGAGAGAGGTGAAAGGTGAGAGACTTTTACTTCTTGGTGTAAATTTAAAAGCAGTGTTGACTCGAGTCATGTTGTGTCTGTCATCAACAGCGCCTATCAGATCGTCGTGAAGGAGATCAACCCACACCGTGCACGACGGGAGGCCGGCGGCGGGGAGTGTTACCGTGAGCCGGTGACCTATCAGAACGCGGCCAGCGCCGGGCTGCCGTATTACTTCGCGGCAGAGCTCCCTCCCAGGAATCTCCCAGAACCGCTGCCGTTTACCGTGGGAGACAACAAGACGTACCACGGCTACTGGAACGCCCCCCTCGCGCCCCGCAAAAACTACAACATCTACTTTCAGGCGGTCAGCAGCGTGGAGAAGGTCAGCAGATGACAAATGAACAAACACAGCCTCATATCAGCAGGACTGACACAGAATCACAGTCCTTTGATCTGTTCTGTCCTGTTCTGTTGCTTCAGGCCCTTTTATTGGAGCATTGTGCATTATTTTGCAATACATGTGATGGTTTGACTGTTCTATCAGATCACAAGGTCAATCACACCTCATCAGTCAAATACTAAAAAAAAAAATGAAAATATGGCCTTCCAGTGTTGTCGCAGCTCAGAGTGTTTCAAAATCACAACACGCATTGCAAGTCAAGCTGCTGCAATCATTCTACTCAATGTGTTGATATGTTTTCACATCTTTATGCAATTCTGCTCTACTTTTAATAGAGTTTTGAGAATTAACTGTAAATTGTTTTTGTTTTTGTTTCAGGAAAGTAAAACGCAGTGTCTGAAACTGGCTTTTAAAGGTAAGCCCTTCGAATTTAAAGCATGCATTTACCATACATTTCTCCAGCACAACTTCAGCATAGTTATAGAAAAGCAATGTTAGTATATGCAGTGGGACGGTGTCTGATAATATGGACAAAAGAAGCCATGCCAAAGCTTGACCATCCCACTCACAGTTGCCTATTCTGTTCAGATGCAATTATCAGTTATATATGCATCACATTTATGAACACTTTATCTCCCTCAAATATATGCACTAAAATATACTGAAATATACTTCTATGAAAAAGGCACAGTATGTGATTTTTATATGTAATTTAATGTGCAATAAATGCAAGCTTTGTGCATTTGTTCTCAAAAATAGTTGCCATTTTGCCTTCGTTCAATTGGAAATGGATTGCATGTACTTGTGTATATTAATTTGGCAGATTTTGAAATTGAATATGTGACACTGCTTTGCACAAGAACACGTTTAGATCATAGTTCAAGAGTCAAGTTTATTGACATTTCAGCCATATACATGCATACAACTGGAACTAAATGTTGTTTCAGCAGGTCTGCAGCTTACAAAAGACTTGAATGACTGCAGAGCACCAGTGTAATGCAAAAAGTATAGTTATAAAAATATCAATTTGCGGTAATGTGCTGATACAGAAGTGGTAAAATTATAATAATTCTATTTTTAAATTGATGGTAGAGAGCTGGCAATAGTACTGCTCAGTCCTGCTAGAAACAGAGTGATAACTTTGAAGACAAAGCATTTCACTGCCTTTCATAACACAGCTAATAAAATAAAGAACGAATAATCTATACCCACAGTAACAGGAGGCTGGAAGTGCTTGACATTAATCTGTGATGCTGTGCTGCTTTGGCTCTAAAGTAACCGTTTGAAACTGGAGAAGAGGACAACAGTGTAATGTAATGTTGAGACACACCTGTCATACCGTATCTCAGGACTGTTAGGATTATTTTAGTAAGCACATTTCTAATAATATTTCTATATGTTTTTTAAATAATTTTGGATTAAGTTTTGAACTACCAAGCAATTTTTTAATCGTTCAGCAGTCATCCCTGTAGTACTAAGGAACTGCAGCCGTTTTGTTTTCTATGTCTGCTTCAGGATTGTACTCACAAAGGAGTTAGTGTTATCAGGTCAAGCATTGTATTTTTTGTTCCTTAATATCACAACCCAGAATGGAATATTTTGTGTAAATATAAATTTGATTTGTTTTTTGAAATGTATGAATATTCAGCTCTGCTATGTCACACTCTTTGTTTCTGGGTTACTGTGAGTTTTCAGAGGTTTTTTTTTTTCATCGTATATATTTTGTGATTATTTGTGGAGTTGTGATTTTCATAATCATAATTGCATATTGGACATGTAGTTTTCTTGTACATTTTTAAGTTTAAAGAAAAATGTCAGACGTACTTAGAGGCTTTTGCATCTGAACTCTTCATATATATATATATATATTGTCAATGTGCTGTTGTGGTAATGACAGTACCTTCGGCCATGTCTCATCTGAGTTATTGCACATTATTTCCTCCTCTGGCTCTTCATTAATTGTTTTTCCAGCAGGAAATCGAATGATAACAGTCTGCCTGAGCTCAGAGCACTCCCAGAACGGATTAGATATAGCCCACGTCATGTGTTGTTTAGCAACAAAAATACATTTTTGTTTTTAAGCATGGAATTTTATCTCCAAAATGGATGTAATCCAATTTCCATTGAATTGCTCCTAGTGTTTTTCTCTCAGATCAGACTCATAAGAGCTGACAGAAACAGAAGTGTTCTGGCGGGGGGCAAAATTCGGTGTCTGAACCAATACAGGCCTGCATCTAAAACCACACCGCGCCGCCGATTTATCACCTTTTAACCCAAGTGTCAAAAGTGATTGCCAGTAAGGTTACAGTCTTTGCTTTTCCATAATGTGGGTGAGAGGGACAGGGTTATAGATTGCATTTATCCACAGGAAAACAATTTTTAAATAACCAGTCAAAAATATTATTTAACATCACTAAATACATTGATTTATACCAACAAAACTCTTTTTACAGGTTAAATCAGGTAGAAATAGCTCTTTAAGGTAACAATTGCAAGACGTCTATAAGAGAATAGAAGAGAATAACCCTCAAAAACAGTACATGAACATAATCATCCAGCAGAATTCCATTAAATATTGACTTTGTATGAGCTATTTTAGAATAGTGAAATCATTTTACATATAGTAGTAGTATTGCTACAACTGTGCGTGCATGTAAGACATGTTGCTGCTGAAATTAGCCGTAACAGATCTATACAGGTGGATCTGGGGGAGGTAGAGGGCTTCTGGGAGTTTCATGCTGCAAGACTTGCTTAAGCCAATCTATTTAAAAGTTAAGCAGCAAGCTCATTGGCTGCAGCATCAGCAGAGACCAATCAGCTTGTGCTGTGCTGTGATGATGTCACTGTTTGCAGATTGCATTAAGAAGATAATATGTATATAGAACTCTAAACCGCTACATCAAAGCCAGATTGTGATGTGTCAGAAATAATCATTTTCTAACCAAATGTATGCATACTACTATATGTAAAATTATTTCAGTATTCTAAAATAGCTGAATATTTAATGCCTAGGGTTGAAGACCTATGATTTAATGGATTTCCAGAAACTCCTTTATTTTGCTTCACTAAATGGTACTTATAGAAATCAATTCAGATGTTTTGGTTTTCTGTGTAACAAGTAATAATGTAATTCCACATTTATAATACATTTATCATCTAATTCCATTGTTTATGCTGTTATAACTGTCACAAAGTTTTCAAAAATATTAAGTATTAAAATTGTTATTATGAGAAAAAAAAAATTGTTATAAATTATTTATAAAAAATGTTTAATGAAAAAAAACTTACAAAACTATGTTGCTAAAAAATAAAATAACATATTTGTGTGATAGGTGGAAATGTTGGCAGGGCAAATAAAAATCAAATGTAGTGTGGCAGCAGTACAAAACCCGCTGATTCCCCAGTCCTATAGTGCTTTCAGCTGCCAATAAAAGTGTCTGAGCTGTGTTTAATATCTGTCCTGTTGATTGTGCCTGGGTTATTTGTTATTGACAGAGATATTTGTGGGTTTGACATTCATTGGTATTTGTGTCATGCGGACAGGTCATCTGAAGCTAACACAGCACTCGTGTGATCAGTGCTTAAAGCGAAGGAAGAGGAAGAGAGTGCTTTGATGATGAAGGGCCGGTGCATTAGGGCAGCAGTGATCTGCGTCTTGGCCATTTCACCCCAGGCTGCTCATTCGCCCAAATGTGTTGTAAAGAATAGAGAAGCCGTGTGACGGGGGCTTGGCTTTTGTTTGAGTGTTATTGTTGGGTAGAAATAAGCTGCCCCACAGATCCAGAGGCAGGAGAGTACAGCTGATGGCTTTATTTAAGAGGCCCATGTCAGCGGGTCATTGCCTTATCACTCTTAAAAGCTTATAGTAGAGCTTCAGGACATACCGGAGATCCATTTACTCCTGCCGCCCAGACAGATCGCACAATGCGGCATTTAAAGGCAAAGCCATGAGTGGAGTCGGCATCCAGACCGCCATAAATGTCATACGCACCGAGCTGGAGTTCAGCAGCGGTTCGGATCAATACGCGTAGATGCCATAATGATAGTTTTGCTGTTAGAACGGTGTGCGAGAAGTATTTCAGTCGGCAGTGATGTATTTCTGACAGGGTTACAGACCCGAAGCACCACTGCAGTACACTTACACTGGAGCAGACGCTCTGCGACACACCACTTTGAGTAATACTGGGTTTGTACCACTTAGTTGTCATACAGATAATGACTATTAAACGTTTAATTGTCTGCTTTTTAGTTCTTGTTACTTGCTGTGTAAACTTAATATACAAACACAAAATCATTTATTCAGAGTGAACTTTATGTAAGGGATATTCGCAGAACAGGGTGATCAGGACGCTGAGGGGGTTGTGTATCACACTGGAAGGGGGTTATTCTGCAATAACAACCGGCTAGAAGTGCATTATCCCTCTTATTACATGGCTACTTGCCACATAAGTAAATAATTAGGCACGGAATATTGATTTGAGTTGATATATTTGAACACAAAGCTTCCGTAAAGACAGCAGTTGCGAGCAAGCGGCAAGTTCAAACTAGACGGTGATACGGTACATTTCACCACATAAATAATTATGGCGATAAAGGATTTAAGACGGAAATGTTTTAAAATCTTACCAGTTTGTTAGTTAGATTACGGTGTATAAAACAATCATGGCAAAATGGCAGCTGCTGCGTTTGTATGAAACGAGAGAGCGAGTTGCAATACCAGGATGACATAATTAAATAATAGTACACATAATATTGAATCGAGTTTTAATATTTTATTAGCTAACCAAACGCAAAGCTTCAACCAAGAAAAACTGTTCCTATCAAGAGAATAGCGCCGACTTCAGTTACCCGGATGAGCCTGTGTTATCAGCTTTTACCGGTTGTTATCGAGGGATAACAGACCTCAGAATGTCGCGACTGACCAATCAGAATCAAGTATTCGACAGAGCCGTGTAATAACAACAAATAAAACACTTTAACATTTTAAACATTATTTACAGTTGTTACTATTTACATCTGCTTCCTTTTCCGTTCACCCTGTTCCATTTTGGAAGGAATAGAAAATAGTTGTGAAAAAGAAGTGCACTTTAGCATACTTTTGAAAAGAGTACTTATTATGGAAATAATATACTTTGAAAGAATATGCGTGCAAAACTAAAAGTACTGTAATGTTTTTTCAGACATTAACTGCATGCTAATTGAAATGAAGTGAAAATGTATTATAGTTTACATTTATCAATGCAATTAGTTGAACTTTAAAGAGTTTTTTGACCAATTTAAGTAGGACTTAAGTACATTTTGACGTAATTTCATAATTACTTCTATTATCTTTGAAATATGGTTAAAGTATAAAGCCAAATATATAATAAAAATATACTTTCATGTCTTTTCTGTTGAAATTGTATGTCATGTATTTAAATATATTTGCCGATATATCGGCCGATACAGATAAGCGATTATTCAGAATGATATCTGCCGATACCGATAATTTGGTTTTCTTAAGGAAAAAAATCTGTACAAATGCTGTTAACTATACAGGGAACCCTCTCATTTGGAACATTAAAGGCTAAAATGAACAACAACACTATTATATTAAATGCTACTTAAATGGTTAAAATGTAGTATAAAGTAAAATTTATAATTTGACATTATTACAAAGTAACAGTCATGAAAGTGCACTTAAGTGGCCTATTATTTCAATAATACTGTATTGTCTGTATGTAAAGTTTTCCAAAAAAAATAAATAAATCCTTCAAGATTTGAGGTACACTACAAGTGCACATTCAGTACAATTAAACACGCTTCTTTTTCACAAGGGAACCCCAATCAGTTTGCATTTTAAACCACCATAGATAGACACACCATGCCGCTCCACAGCCATTCATGCATTTACATAGAATTCCCTTATCTTCATGTGAGTGTTAAAATCAGTGGATTCACAGTGTTCTCTGCTGCAGTGTGATTTTAACAGGCCTGGAGAATACACTGTATAGTGTGATGGCTTTACTCTTGCTTGTAGAGTCCCAGAAGTTTTACATTCTGTTTAGCTCAACATCGTATCGTTCACACTCTGTTCTTTAGGCTGTGCTCAGAGGCAGTGTCTTCTCTTTGAACTGTTTCATACATTTATTTTTAGAGCAGACTCATTTTTGTGTTCTATTTGTGCCAGGTAATAATATTAGTGTTCAACAATGGAATGATACTGTGGTTGTCTGCCAATGTTTGGAGAAACATATCCGACAGTCATTTTCAACCCATTGTGTTGTGCTTTGGCAGCGAGAGAAAGATATCACACAGCGGACTGATGGCAGTTTGTGAGACGTCTAGGCAGCAACAAATAAAGCTCATGTTGTGATCAGAAGACTTTCGTCATGTTTGAGTTTAGAAGTACATCTGGAACAGGATCTTGTAGAAACAGTTGCAACAGGTGCATTAATGGCAAAAATGTCATTTATTTTGGTGACCTTGGTTTTGTGGGTACTAGTTTGCTTCCTAGTAGGAAAAAAATAATAATAATGATGATTTGTCATATTTTGAATTTGAGCTTGCATCTCATCTCATTGCATTGGAGCATGTGCACTAACTAAGCCATGGCTCCAACTTAACACTTATATGAGGGAACGTCACATTTAAAAGATTTGCTTTTTCTCTTCAGGGGCCACAGAGGAGCCGGAAGTGATTCCAGACCCGGCCAAACAGACCGACCAAGTGGTGAAAATTGCCGGCATCAGCGCTGCCGTGCTGGTCTTCATTCTCCTGGTGCTCGTGGCCATCCTGCTGGTGAAGAAAAGGTAAGATAGAGACATTTGGCTCTCTGAATGGGTGCCGTTACAGTACGTTTGTGTTGGCTCTTGAAATGCCCACGAGCACACCGACATCCTCCTTCCACTGCCATCTCATCACATCATTAGCACCCAGGGAGCAGCCGCAGGGGCCCCATCCCCACCGCTGTCAACTATACGCCGCCCAGGGGCCGCTCGTTTCCCCAGCCTCTGCCTTCCAGCGTAACAAGACGAAATCTCAATTAAAGCCATTAAAAGAGAATCAGATGCACATACAGCAAACCCGCACATGTACACTTACAGTATGAGGACCTCCAATTTCTTGTTCTGAAATCTTATTATCCACCTAACAGATGCCTTCTGCCGTTTTACATTGCAGTCAATTCATTATTTAGCCCGTTTACAAACCATTTTTATTGATGTGAACGTTTTATTGTATCTGGTGGTGTTTTATAAATTTGAGGCATAATTTAAACCTGAAGTACACACACATTCAAATGCACACAGCCGTTCAAAAGTTTGGGGTCGGTAAGATGAATGTTGAATGATTTTGAAAGAAGTCTCTTCTGTAATGTTATTACAATTTAAATCAGCTGTTGTCTATGTGAATATGTTGTAAAATGTATTTTATTTCTGTGATCAAAGCTGAATTTTCAGCAGTCTTCAGTGTCACATGATCTTCAGAAATCATTCTAATATGCTGATTTGCTGCTCAAGAAACATGTATGATTATTATCAATGTTGAAAACAGTTGCGCTGCTCCATATTTTTGTGGAGACTGTGACATTTTATTTTTTCAGGATTCTTTGATGAATAGAAAGTTCAAAAGAACAGCAATCATTTGAAACAGATTTTTAAATATTATAAATATAATATTATAAACATACTTGCTGAATTAAAGTATTCACTGTTTTCAGAGAAAAAAAATAATAATCTTACTGACCCCAAACTTTTGAGCATGGTGCTGGAACCGTTTGATTTCCAGAGAGTTGCACGTACTCGTACACTGAAAAGTCTGAATTTGTAAATTAATTTGTAAATGTCACGTTGCACAGCATATGCATCAACTTTATTTTCCACATCTGTCTAAAAACATTATTAACAAATATCATGTGTACATTATTAGTATTATTGTGTATATGTACTGGCACATATATTTGTGGGCAGATTATTAGTAATAGTAGTCATTTATGTCTATTATTATTCGGTTGTTGTTTGATTCTGAAGTGTGTGGAAGCACAGGCCGGTTTTGAGAGAGCTTGCAGCAGCAGCCAAACACTGACTCGCACATGAATCAGCATTATTCTGGTGAAAAGCTGTATGAAAGTGTCACAGTGTAGCACTGTAGAGTGTGTCTGTGAAGTGAACATTCACAGGACACACCAGAGAATATTTGATATTTGTGAGACGAAGGAGTAGAGCAGAGTGTGTTTGTAAATGATGCTGAGCGTCTGCTGCTCCGTGGCTGTGCGAGTCTAAAGCAGGGCGAGCTGTTTTGTTCAGATGAGCTTTTGTAAATGAGTTACTGCTGATTGTTTTATGTGCACGTCCACCTCCTCCAGATCACCTGACAAACTCAAGCCGCTCCACTCTTACTTTCACTTTTCCTCTCTCTCTCTCTCTCTCTCTCTCTCGCGCAGCAGTTCTTGCTGCTTCTGTCTAATGGCTCCATCATGTGGTGTTTTCTTGAACAGCAGGCTGTTTAAAGCACTGCCTTTCATGTGCAAACACAAATCAATGCTCATAACAGACCAGGCTGGAAACATTAGCTGGTATCATTTGCAAAAGCTCTTTTTTATAATGTACTGTAATTAGGCCTAAAGGTTGTCTCATAGGACTCACATTTGGAAACACACTGTAAAAATAATAAATAGTGAGGTTTATGCAGGGAAGCTCATTGTGCTCCTTCACAAACAGTGCAGATCCAGAGCAAATCAAACTCACTTCATCATGTGTTAGAGCAGGAAGCTCATTCCTCATGCTATCATATGCAGTTTTGTTGCACTGTGGATTTTTTGAATGTGTTTTATTGATGTTTGGATATTTTTCATGGGAAATGTAGTTCATAACTGTTTGTATAAAAGAGACAGAAGTGGACATGTGTTCTAATCGTTTGAGAGGAGAGTCTGAGTAGCTGAAGGGGTTGGGATTGGTTTGAGGGGAAAGGCTACATTAATTGTAGCTTGTAACTTGTACTCTGTTAAAATGAGCATGTTTCTGTGTCCTAAATTCAGTGGCACTTTTTTCCCCTAAAGTTCCTGCCCTTGCTGGGGTGTTGTTTTTTTGTCCCCCTCTTGATCTTAGATCCCATGTCTTTGTTTTTTTTAGTTTTTTTTTTAGTTCTAGTGAGAAAACTGAATGCTGTGGCATTTTGAAGGTCTCTTTTTCTCTCACACACACAAATACACACAGTTGCACTGGTAGCATAGAGGAAACTTCTGTAACCTGCAATAACATAAAGACTCATATGTTATGGGGGAATTGGTTTTTATTTGATGTATTGTTTTTCTCATGAATGGGCTTCAGATCCCAGTAAAGCGCCCTGGCCCAGCAGCATTAGGCTGATTCTTCATCCTCATCCATACTTCATTCATTCTGTGCAGTAGTACTTAGAGTCATTTTTCATTCATTTTCCTAAACAAGAAATACAACAAGGCATGTTAAACTGGCAGCTGTTACTGTGGATACAGTGTGACACAAAAGCGAAAGCTTCTGGCTGGTCCTGCTTTTGTAGAAATGTCATATTTGTCTCCCATGATTACTTTATTCTACAAGCAGAATGTCCGATACTAGGTGGTCTAACAGAGATAAAGTGAGCAGTATTTAAGTCTTCATCTCATGTGAATGGACATCATGTCAAATAATGATTTTTTTGTTTGTTTTACTAACCAGACTTTATTTGGGTGGAGTGTACTGCACCGTTAAACACAGATGTGGGACCTTTTAGTTTGTGGCGCCTTCATTTTTGTGGGTTTTGCCATCCTGTTAAAATGAATTAATATGTGCTTATACTGAACCTCGACACACAGCAATAAATATAAACGGCTCATTTCTAACTGAGCAATGGATTATCAATGTTTTCCGGTCAAACTGAAGATACTGCATCTTTAAAACAGTGGTCATTGACGCTGCTTATTTTGCAGGAAGTCAGCAGCTTACCGATTTGATTTTTTTATCTGTGCCTTTTTGGTTGTGCTCCACATATGTAATTTTTTTTTTTTTTTCTTTAAAAATGACTTTTTTTTATATTTTTAAATCATCTGTGCTACAAGATTTATTGCAGTGATTTATGAAGTCAGAGCGCCTCAAATGCATGATGAAATTGAACAGCCAGAGATTTTGCATGCTCTGGTTGCGTTTTGTTTCTTTTCCTCCTTCTAACAGACGACTGTCAGTTAAATAGTTTCTAATTGCACGCAAATGTACAAGACATGCATGTTTCGATGAATGCCACCAATGAGGGCGACAGAGATCAGGCTAAAAGCTTCCATCAGAACTGCTGTTGACTAGGTATCTGTTGCTTATGCTGGTACGGTTGATTCCCACATTGCTCTCACCAATATCTCTTCATCTGTTTGTGCTGTTTCTCATTCGCTCGCCAGGAGGAGCTACTATTCGTACTCATATTACCTGTAAGTAACAGAGACGTTCAGACCAAAGCAAAAGCAAAACGGTGACTTACATGCAGGGCTCTCTGCTCTCTGTCAATGGTTAGTCCTGTTAGTCTTTTAAAGATGCAGTATCCTTTTTTCAAGCGAAAACACAAATCGCTTTGACCAATCACGTTCCTTTGCATTGCAGTAGTTCATGGACATGCTCGGCGACGGTACTTCCAAGCGGTGTTATTGTTGTTGTTGTTTTTTGGGGGGGGGTGTCGGTTTGGTTTATTTTGGGTGTGTGCATGTGAGTGTGTGTGTGTGAAATAGTTACTCACCGTGTCTCCATCCACCTCTCATCCTCACATACTCATCTGTTCATTCGTTTGGTGAAGCGGGTGTTTCTCACTTGTTCTCGGTTGGCCTTTAGTCTGCAGCTCAATCTAGCAGGTGATTCGAGCGCTGCTTTGATGGCTTTCCAAAAGTTCCTGTGACATCTCTACAAAACCTCAGTCAGATATCAACAGATTCCTGCTTTTATCTATTCTTGTCGAAAGAGCATCGAAATCTTGTAACAAATAGAAAATGCATAAATCATTTGCATTACAAATCATCTTTCACAGCTCCACGTTGCATTTCATCACATGACATGTCACTTTAAAAATAAACATAAAACCATGAAAATTAAACCATGAATGCATTTTTTTTTCAGTTCAGATAAATCCGAAATTTTGTGATTGGTTCTATATTTGCTTTCTTAAATACACAAACAACGTAAAAATAAGAAAAACTGACACTGACATGGAAAATCTCTAACTGCAAAAAAATAAAAAATGAAATTAATTTTGTAACAGTAAAGTAACTCTTCTCATAATAAAACATGTTCAAATAAAGAAGAGAGACTTTAATTGCAGTTTGAACAGCCATGGTTTTATTTCTCTGAATCACATCCACTAATTTGCAAGTATTTCCTAAAAGTTTCCTCAAAGTTGTCCTTTACCATGGAACTAAAGCTTTCCTATCGGATCATCCCTTCTTCTCTCTCCTGTCTGTTGTTTATTCCTACATGTGGGTGCTTTGGGGTGGGCTGAAGGGTGCAGTGATACTGTTTTCTGGAGTAGTAGATCTGTAATGATTCTGTTTTTAATTGGGTTATCAGGAAGCTCGCCAAGAAGCGCAAGGACGCCATCGGAAACACCCGTCAGGAGATGACGCACATGGTCAACTCCATGGATCGCAGTTATGCAGACCAGAGCACTCTGCATGCCGAGGAGCCCATGTCCGTCACCTTCATGGACTCGCACAACTTCAGCAACCGCTGTGAGTATAAGTCCTCCAGAACGCCTCAACAGCTCTTAACTCTAGGGGAGTTGGAAAATGAGCCTATTTTCAAAAATAGTGGAGTGTTCCTTTAAGTAAAGTATATTTCGGGCTTGACTTTTGACAACATGGAACATTGTAGAATCATATCGAGCTTGTCTGAGGATTTTGAAACTTCCACTTGATTTGTGTAGGAGAACATTGTAAAAACCAAAACACACACGAAGCCGAAAGCGGCCCACATGAAGAGAGTGGTGCGTGTTTGTCGGCACTAGTGTGTAATGATAAGATTTTCTTTTTGCTCTATAACACCAGTAGTTTAGATTGCCCAGCCCAGCAATTATAGTGTGCCTCTGCGATTCACATCCAAGCATCCAGGTTAGTTGTTAATAATGACCTAATATTGCGTGATCGTGCAAAACACACCCATGTTAAATGGTGCAAGTGCAGACGCAGCAGTAAGATTTCAGTTTCAGAACATCCTCAGCTCTTGAGTTTTTGTGTAGTTTTTTATTTATTTATGATAACTCTGCATGTTTCTCTGCAGTGCCTAATGACCCTCTCGTGCCGACAGCTGTATTAGGTGAGGATTCAGTGTATGGTGTGTCTGTGACTGCATCACTGGAGTCTCGACAGAGCAATTCAGTTCAGCCTGTGTTATGGCTCAAAGACAACATGAAATACAATTTACTTGCTTTTTGTATGTCGACAGGTCTAACTGTCTTACTTTAAATTACATTACATTAAATCAGTGCATGTTAAAAAAAAGATTCTGTAATATTTCGTCAAGATGTGTTCATTTTCTTCACCTCCCATAACAAAGGAGGTGTGAGCAAGGAAATAATATTAACCAACATTATCATAGACCAATCTAATCAAGTCACAGTGATTAAAATCAAGCCCTGCCCTACATAATGTTATGCTATAGAAGCAGTTTCATGTTGTCTTTACTTTGTCCATATTTCCAGCCAAACTCTTCTCCCCAATTAGTTAAATAACTTCAAGTCATGAGGTAATGTTTGATTCAGGTTGAGTTTTCCTTCAGAAGAGAACTGAATTGAGCTGAGTACTCCTGCTGCACATAAAAACCTTCATTACCCAGCATGCATCACTCATGCAGCCCCCCCCCACCATGTTCCTGTTGTGTTACATAGAACAGGGTTTCTCAATCATCTCCACGGCTCCTCCTGTATTGCACAGTGAACTGAAGCGCCCGGTTCAGTTGATGCACTATTAACAAGTTCTGTCAGACACATCCAAAGCATGCAGCACAGGGAGCTTGTAGGAATGGATCGAGAGCTGCCGTGCTTGAAGATTCAGATCCCAGAATGTTATAAATGGGGTTACAAATGTTGCAGTGAAAGCACAGTCATTGCTCACCTAAAGTTAGACGACTGCGCCTCTGCTTCTGTGGACACATACATTTGCTGAATGAGGACATACTGTAGTTTTTTATTTATTGTTAAGCTAATTATAATTACTACAGATCAACCCAAACACTACCCTTAAAATAAAACTATATATGTCCCTAAGGAGAGGTTGTGTCAGATTTAGCGCACTTGGGGACTTTTAGGAATTTTGGTCTTCTAAAGTAAACGCACACAAACTCTATATTCCAAAGTTTCTTGTCTGGTGGGTTGTGAGTCTAAAAAAGAGTTGCATGTCTGACAGGTCACAGGCAGCAGAACAAAAGTGCACTTTGTAATTATGTCAAATTATTTTTAATATTTTAATTATTTTTTATTGTTTTTTTATATTAACTTATTTTTTTAAGGTTTTGCTTTAAAGTACATTTTAAATCATGTTTTAATCTTTTGTATCTTTTGTTGTGCTTTAAAGAAGTACACTTTTGATGTGTTGACTAACAAACTAAAGCACATTTAAAGATGTTGATTCGAATTCTAGTGTTATTTGATGTTACATTTAAAGTTAATATATTTAAAAAAATTCATTTTTAAATTTTCATCATTACAAATGTGTAATTACAAATACAAATGCTCACCTAAAGTTAGACGACTGCGCCTCTGCTTCTGTGGACACACACATTTGCTGAATGAGGACATACTGTAGTTTTTTATTTATTGTTAAGCTAATTATAATTACTACAGATCAACCCAAACACTACCCTTAAAATAAAACTATATATGTCCCTAAGGAGAGGTTGTGTCAGATTTAGCGCACTTGGGGACTTTTAGGAATTTTGGTCTTCTAAAGTAAACGCACACAAACTCTATATTCCAAAGTTTCTTGTCTGGTGGGTTGTGAGTCTAAAAAAGAGTTGCATGTCTGACAGGTCACAGGCAGCAGAACAAAAGTGCACTTTGTAATTATGTCAAATTATTTTTAATATTTTAATTATTTTTTATTGTTTTTTTATATTAACTTATTTTTTTAAGGTTTTGCTTTAAAGTACATTTTAAATCATGTTTTAATCTTTTGTATCTTTTGTTGTGCTTTAAAGAAGTACACTTTTGATGTGTTGACTAACAAACTAAAGCACATTTAAAGATGTTGATTCGAATTCTAGTGTTATTTGATGTTACATTTAAAGTTAATATATTTTAAATATTCATTTTAAAATTTTCATCATTACAAATGTGTAATTACAAATACAAATGACATGCACATTTCAATAAAATGACATTAGAGTATATTTTAGTTTATCATAAATCTTTTTCAGTACGTTCAGCAGTAACATTTTAACCATATTTCAAAGACAACAGAAGTTATTATGAAATTACATGTAAAGATGTACTGAAGTCCTACTTAAACGGGTCAAAAACACTCAAATAATTGCATTTAATATAAATTTAAACAGTAACATTTTCATTTAATTTAAATTAAAATGCAATTAAGTATCTGAAAACATTACAGTACTTTCAGTTTGCACGTATATTCTTTTAAAGTATATTATTTCCGTAATAAGTACTGTAGTCTTTTTAAAAGTATGCTAAAGTGTACTTCTTTTTCACAAGGGATATTAATAATTTATCATTAAAAGATTCACGTTAATTAAACATTTTAAGGACTACCGGATGCTCAATGTAAATCTGGAAGCAACTGAGTCAACTGAGAAGCACTAATCTGTGTGTTTTAACAAACACTCATACACACACACACACACACTGTCACGGCATTATGAGTGTTCCCGGAGCTCGTGGGATGATGCCGAAACTAACCTGACAGCTTACACGTAAACCTGATAAAACTCCAGTCATCTGGGTTAATGGTGTCAGATGCTAACATAGAGCTAACATGACAGAACAAGCAGGAAAGGCGTTTTCTACAGTGGTGTGATGATGATGATGATGATGAAGATGGTGGGGTATTAAAACGTCCCCTTAGGCCACGGCTATAGCAGAGACAGCGCTGAAGTGCAGAGGACAACACTTCATCCAAACAGCTGCGTCTCTCTGACATCTGCGATGAAGAGAAGTTACAGTCCCTTATAAGATGTGACCGAATAACGTCTGATTATCAAAGTCTTCAGAAACCTTTACAAGTGGTTCTGTCAAGATGTGGGCCATGCAACGCTGTGTAGAAGCAACACTAAAATGTGCACTCGCCTTTGTTCTCGAGAATCGACGGGGGTTGCTTATAAATCATTTCCTGTGGTTGCGATTCCTGTGCATTTGATAATATTCAGAGGTGTCTTTCGTGGTCCAATATATATATATATATATATGGATGTGGCTTCTGCATCTCCACAAAAAGTGAAATCTGAAGTGCCTTAGAAAATGCAACAGTCTGGATGTGATGTAGAGAGTGGCTTTGTTTGTGCTCCCCCTCGTCTTAGTGTCCTGTAGCTGTGTTCTGTATACATGTTTAGTCCATATCACCCCATCAGCTGTACTACAGAGCCCGTGTGTTTGAGCTGACACTGAACTAAACAACTCTTTTCTCTCCCGCTGCCCCATAAGTGCCTATCACTGGTAAGTGTGTGTGAAGAAACGCCTCTGTCCTGTTCAGAGTGCACAACTCTGGGATTATATATGCATTTGTGAGGTTTTGCGTGTGTGTGTCGAGTCCTTTGATCTTAGCATGTACAAAGGTTTGTCCGAATCCCTCAGTGTGCATTTCAATAAATCTTTCCCGATCCCTATCTCAGACGAGAACCACACAGCAGCGGCCGAGAACAGCAGACTGCTGGACATCCCGCGCTATCACTGCGAGGGCACCGAGTCGCCCTATCAGACCGGACAGCTCCATCCAGCCATACGGGTGGCCGACCTGCTGCAGCACATCAATCTGATGAAGACCTCCGACAGTTACGGCTTCAAGGAGGAGTATGAGGTTAGACTGATGACTGTGAGAATGTGTCCTGTGTGGACAAACCCGTAAGTGATCTTAAAGCTAAAGTGTGTCATTTCTGCACAGCTAGAATCACCAAAAATAACTGGAAACAATAAAGATTGTTTTCACACAGATTTCCTGAACCTTTCTTCCATTGTTCAGAAGGACTATGGAAATAGTTTAAATGGATAGTTCACCCAAAAATGAAAATTTGCAGAAAATGTACTCCCCCTCAGGTCATTCAAAATTAGGATGAGTTTGTTTCTTCATCAGATTTGGAGTCCCTCCCTCGTATGTGAGGTCTTTTATGCATGCCTTTGTCTCAACTATACACAATATACAGCTTTCTTTTCTTCCTTGTTGGAGGTGCTTGCTGACTCACTGACATTGTTGTGCTCTCTCTCACTCTTATGCGGTTGATTTTGGGGCGGTAGATTTGGCTGTACAGGGATGTAAGTATCACTGTAGGCACATTCGAACACACTTCCCCTCTCTGTCTCACCCGCTTGCACCGACACACATCCAGCTCCATTCTGTGGCTCTTCCTCACGCTGCCACTCATCTGCTTTGCCTGTGGCTAAGATGACTTGAGGGTGAGTAATTTATGGGCTAATTTTCATTTTTGGGTGAACTAACCCTTTAATGGTGAGAATTGGTCCCTATACTAAAGTGTTACCAAAATATCTCTTTAAAGTAACAACTGCAGGTTACCACTTTTTACAGTGAATGATCCACAGTGATTATTAGTTATATACCACGAATACATTCTACATTACTTATCACAAAATCTGTCAAATAATGCCCTTTTTTCTCCGACGTGTTCAAATGTTTATGACTGAAATATTGATGGATATTGAACAAAAACATAGATTTAGAGAAATAAAGCAGAACTTTTGGCTTTCCCACAGGCCCTGTCCACGAGACGGTGTACGACTTCTGGAGGATGATCTGGCAAGAGCAGTCGGCTTGTATCGTGATGGTAACCAACCTAGTGGAGGTGGGCCGGGTATGTCACTATACTGCCTGCTGAGGGGCCGTTGTGTGTTCTTGTGCTCTGTGATGTGACCTGAAGGCCCCTGCCTGTAAAAACCTTTTGAAGAGTGAGCGAGGACTAGTTATTCATCTGCTCAAAGTGACAAAAATGGGTGAACCTCACAAAGCTTGTCGGGAGCAGGTCATATTTCACCCCAAAATCAAAAGAAAGAAATAATAATAAAAAGCTTTTTTGACACTTCTCAAAGGGTTGAAGCATGTCTATGTATGTGTTTTGTACATTTGTGCACGTTGTGGACGCTTTGTTTAATTCTATCATTATGCACTAGTGCGTGCATTTGAAATGATTTCACAGCAGTCTTTATATCGTAATACTCTTGGAGCAAATGTTAAGACTGAATACAGTATCACTCACATCTTAAAGCATTCAAGCAAGATTTCAGCTCGACGATTTAAGCCAGAATTAAATCAGACTGCTGTGAATCAAGATGCATCTGTGTTGCTTT